CCTTTTGCGCGTATCGTGCCGTTTTCCGAGTCATTACGGGACAGCGCGAGACATGGGTAAGGGGGGGCTTACAATAGCTCGTTGGGAACTAATGTATCGTAGGTATTTTCTTGCGGTGTTGGGACTCATGTTTAGGGCGGCAAACGCACTACTGTGCACCAGGATCTTTCAAGAGTCAGCCAGCTGGTAGTGCCAGGAATGGCACAGGTCGGCAAAGGTTTGGGTCAAGTATCCAATCGTTGTCTGGTGTCTGAGATGTAAATTATCCTCGTTTGGTGCCGAAAATCTATGTGAAAAGCTGGTTCGCTTTCTGGGTCATTCTGCTACATACATACCTGTATGAGAAGGATTGGACCTATACAGCAGGACCAGGGCCCCTGGAACTGATGCCCTCAGTAGGAACATAGCCATATTCTGGAGAAGAGAACAGGTTTGACCAGCTATGGCTATGCACGCCGCTCTGAGAGCTACGCGGCGGGGAATACGGAAATCGACCCACGACGTCGGCGTTAAGAATCTGTTTTTTTGACATTAGTCCCGTCGTTCCACCGACCTCGATGTTAAACGTGGCAGCCAGGACGAACATTTCCATCAAAAACTCGGTCGAGTAGCCGGGGCCTGAGGCGGTGAAAGTGTGAGGAGCCCCCATGTGCGCCATCACCTAAAGGCACACACGATTGGGCACGTTAACGAAAGCCACAACGGGGGAAGTCTCACTCGGATGCACAGCACCGAGAGAGCGGGACACCCACGAGGGCTGCGGGGTACGCGGAAAACTTCTTCCCCGTCGAAGGGTAGATTCTTTTGTTCTTTCCTTTTAGCGGGTGTCCTCCCACATCGTACCAGCAATGTTCCTCGGCGGTTGGTATTGCCATGGACTAGCGATCTCCCCATGCGTATCGAGACTCCATTCTAAAACTTCCACAGCCGACGGAGAAGACCAGACACAAGCAATGATCGCATTCTAGGGCTCAGAAGTGTTGACAGCACCGGTCAAGGGACTAACTGCCGCTTGATGAGCGCCGCCGCGATCGCAAGGGTGATAGCCGGTGCACGCGAGCTTCCTACACATTGGCAATACGGCAGAATTTGAATCCAGCAGATACAATACACGAAAAGGAATACAACGCCACCGGTGGATACTCGCCTCTTCCCAGGTACGGTAACGGCCACGCAGCAGGGGAAGTTCCCCCGCCGGTGAGTTGATGATCACGTCTCGCAGGCGGGTAGACGCCCGGCAGATAACCTCGAGTCAGAAAGAGGCCAAATCACACAGACGTAGTTTTGTCGGACAGGCCTTGGGTTAAGAAACAGCGAGCAGAAAATTATGTTTACACCCAAACGAAAGTAGGTGAGATTTTGCAGTAGAATACTGTTCATAGTATCGTGATGTATCGTGATGTATCTTGCACGCGAAAATATTGATGGACGGGTCGCGTTTCATCGGGGAGGAGTTTCGTTTTCGTCACGAAAAGGCCTCGATTTCCTCCGACCACACATCATCGCTGATCCCGAGATGTTGATTGTCATTCTACACTTGAATTCAGCCCACCGTTGTCAGGCGCCGCGGGTCATCCGATGGACGAGAGCGTCAAAGATGAAAAATTCTGTCTGTAGGTATTCCGAGGGCAATGGGTTGGGCATTGTGCGCATGGATACTGCAGTGTGTGCATCTCCACGAAAACACGGGTACGTCACCACCACAGGATGAAGTACAAGTGGACATGACAGCTCGACACATGACATACGTGCGGTTAAACGTCTTCGCCACACCTTGTCTCATCTGGCACTTTCTGCGTCTTGGGTCGGGCCATGGTTCAACTCCCCGCTGTACAGGTGCTTTCCTTCTTTCCCCAATTTTTGAAAACATCACACGGAAAAGAACTTGGGCCTGTACAATGATAGGCGAAAAGTTCCTCCCACTGCATGGACAAAATGTACGAGAGAGCGAACCGTGCGAAATCGTCTCACCTTTCGCGGCGGGCAGGCCATCTTGATGCCCTCTTCCTCCGTATGCTCGCCTCGATCACTTGAGATCCCCTTCTCCCTCTCCAGACATGTCAACGGGTCTACCACGAGAACCACGGTGTCTTCTTCTTCCTCGTCGGCGCTTGGGTCACCGTGGGCACAGTAGGAACGATGACACGACATTCACCAGAACAGAGGACGGAAAACGTAGTGGGAGTGAACACTCTGAAGGTTACC